AAACCACTCGACCGGAGGGCAACGGGGGCCAGACAGACAAGTGAGGCGGATTTAAATTGTACACTCACTCTCCCATTCACCCAGTCGTTCATTACTTCATTTGTTAGATATGCTTGCAGACATGTGTGTGTTGGTTTCACGGGTGTGTTCAGGCTGCGTAGCCGGCCTCCCTGTGAGGTTGTATTTGCCAGCCGTAGTGCAAAGAGCAGGTCTCAGCGTCTGTTTGTGTGTATACATGCGTCTGTTTTATTTGTTTATTCATTTTTGTCCCCGTTTGCTTGCGTGTACCTTTTGCTTGTTTTGCGTCTATCTTTCTCTCCAGGTATCGTTGGACCCAAACACTGGAGTCTGTGGACGTCTACGTGCCTGTGGGCGAGGGCGTGCGTGCGGCGCAGTGTGAAGTCAAGATAACCGGCACTAGGCTGACTTTGGGTCTCAAAGGACAGGCTCCCATCTTGAGTGCGAAGACGACGCCACGTTGATGCTTACTGCGTGCATTGTGTTTTGTTTTTGGAGTGGTGTTGACTTACTTCACAGTGTCTCGTACCGCTGTCAGTTGCTTGCTCTTTCCTTTTGTCATTGCCTGTGTATCTTTCCGTGTGAACTATGGGGTTCTTTCGTCCTTCTGTAACTCGTTTTGCCCCCCAGTTGCTTCTTTTTTGTCGCCTTCCCGATTTCCCCCTCCATATTTTATGCAAATGCTTGTCTGGCTTTGTCTGCAAGAGGAGTTCGCATTGCCGTTCTTCGTGCCTTCATTTTGCGCGCAACGTTGCCTCCGTTTTTTTCATACGACGGAGTCGTACTGTGCGGCTCTGGTTGTGTGGTATCCTGCTGAGGAGTTTTTTACTTATATCTTGCATGGTTATTGGCTGGCTTTGCCGCGTGCAGACGGGGAGTTCTCTCAAAGAGTGCAAGCAGAGGATTGCATGTGGACGCTGGAGGATCGAAAGACTCTTCATCTCAGCTTGGAGAAAACAGACAAAATGCGATGGTGGAGTTGCGTCTTGAAAGGCGACCCGGAGATCGACACCAAGACTATTGTCCCTGAGGTACTAGAGATCAATCATCTATTTCGATCAATCCGTGAAGAAATATGTACTTACGTACATCCCTGCGCGTCTGCAGTGTGCATGCGCATTTATGTTG